CCTCCCCTTTTAGAGATTATATTTAGTTTTGCTGGGTAAGCAATTCTTGGTTGTAAGACTTTCCACCTCGCTCCTTTATGGACTTACTACATTTTAATTTTGATCATTCTTATTTATGCATGTCATATTTCCCGACATATTTTCCCCCTTGAAATACCTTATTGCAAACTCTTCACTTCTTTAAAGTGATAGCTGTTGAATCTTGTGTGATTCTGATTGTGATTCCTTGGCTCTTGGATTCTTTCTACTGTTTGTAGCACTTTTTGTTTGATCTGGCAACTCTGAATTTTGATTATAATGTTCCTGGAAGTTTTCCTTTTCTTTCAGGAGATGATTTGAAGATTCCGTTTTCATAATACCCTCTTGTTTTAATAGGTCTATGCAATTTCCTTTCATGATTTCTTGAAATATTATATCCATTGTATCATGGTTTTTGGGTGGTACAATGATTTTTAAATTCTCTCCTTAATCTGTGTTCCAGGTTAGTTTTTTTTTTTCTAATAAGAGATACCTTACATCTTCTATTTTTTTTTCAATCTCCTAACTTTGCATCTTGTTGTCTTATGGAGTCAATAGCTTCAGTCTGGTCCATTCTAATTTTCATGGAGTATATATTTTTTTCATTTTCTTTAATATAAATTTATTTATTTTTAGTTTTCAACATTCATTACCACAAGTTTTTGAGTTCCAAATTTTCACCCCATCTCCCCCCTCTCCCCACCCCAAGATGGCATGCATTCTGAATATCCCTTCCCCTAGTCTGTCCTCTCTTCTATCTCTCTCCCCTTCTCTTATCCCCTTCCCCTTCTATTTTCCTGTAGGGCAGGATAGACTTCTTTACCCCATTTCCTATATTTCTTATTTCCCAGTAGCATGTGAAAACATTTTTTTTAAACATATGTTTTTAAAACTATGAGTTCCAAATTTTCTCTCTTCCTCCCTCCCCACCCACCTTCATTGAAAAGGCAAGCAACTCAATATAGGTTGTATATGTGCAGTTATGCAAAACACGTCCATGGTAGACATGTTGTGAAAAACTAACTCTATTTCCCTTAATCCTATCCTGTCCTCCCATTTATTCTATTCTTTCTTTTGACCCTGTCCCTCCTCAGAAGTATTTACTTCTGATTACCCCCTTTCCCAATCTGCCCTCCTCTCTATCCTCCCCCTGCTCTCTTGTTCCCTTCTCCCCCTATTTTCCTGTAGGGTAAGACATACCCAGTTGAATGTGTATGTTATTCCCTCCTTAAGTCAAATCCTATGAGAATAAGATTCACTCATTCCCTTCATCTTCCCCTGTTTCCCCTCCACTGTAAGAGACTTTTCTTTCCTGTTTTTTTTTGTGAGATAATTTACCCCATTCTGCCTCTCCCTTTCTTCTTCTCCAAGTATAATCCTCTCTCATCCCTTAATTTTATTCTCCAGATATAACCCCTTAATCTTCAGCTCACCCTGTGCCCTCTATCTATCTATCTGCATATACATACATATAATTTTTTTCCTCCAACTACCCTAATACTGACAAAAAGTCTCATGAGTTATAAATATCGTCTTTCCATGCAGGAATGTAAACAGTTCAATCTTAATAAGTCTCTTACGATTTCTCTTTCCTGTTTACCTCTTCATGTTCCACTTGAGTCCTGTATTTGAAAGTCAAATTTTCTATTCAGCTCTGGTCTTTTCATCAGGAATGCTTGAAAGTCCTCTATTTCACTGAAGGACCATATTTTCCTCTGAAAGATTATGCTCAGTTTTGCTGGGTAGGTGATTCTTGGTTGTAATCCTATCTCCTTTGCCCTCCAGAATATTATATTCATGGAGTATATTATTTAGATAAGGTTTTGTACTTGTGTTAAGCTGTTAATTCTCCTTCCAAGTCTCCCTCCAGAGTTTCATTTCTTTTCCGATTCTCTCCATTAACTCTGCCATTTCACTTATAATATCAATGTTAACACTTCAAACAACAACAAAAACAAACTCTTGCTTCATTTTTCTTTGAATTCTAATTGACCTTGTGGTCAGGCTGTTTTTCTTTAAGACTTTGCTCTCAGGTGCTCTGGAGTTTTTCTTTTCTTTGTTTATGTCTTGGTAATTCCTGGCACCTTAATAGCTCCTTATGGTGGGAGTTTTGTTTTTATTTATACATTCTTCCAGGTGTGTTTTCTTAGGTTGCACACTGTGGTAGGGTCAGGCTCTGCGCACTTCTAGAGGGAATGTCATGGCTTATATGTTCTGAGTCTGTTTTATCTGGAGACTTGCTGCTCTACTGAGTGCCGAGTACTTACAGGATTACAGGGGCAGCTCAGGCCAAGGAATCATACATTTCAATTTGGTCTTATGTGATTTGATCTAAGCCATACTTGGTTTGCTGTTCTCTTGGATTTTCCACACTCTAGACCCCAGTTTGAGTCTACAACATAACTACAGACTTGCCTCTCAGTGGGCTTCCAGTATGCAATTACTGTCCCTAGGCCTTGTCAACCATGCTTGTTTGGTTTCCCAGGTTCAGGATAGAGCTGCAGGCTTAACCCTGGCAAGAACCCAGAGGCTGAATTTGAGATCCCTTTTTTGGGGTCAGAGGAGCAGAGCTACAGACCGAGCCCTGCTCCTTAATTCCTGACCCGGTTATTTGCCTGATGACTAAATTCATCATCTTGGGCTAGAAAAACCAAAATGAACCAATATGGTTTTTTTCCCTTCTACCTCTTGATCCCTCCTCACTCGGGCACCCTTCTCGGATCTTTGTTGAAGTAGTTGTGGGCTGTATTACTTCCTCCTATTCTGCGGTAGTTGCTAGTCCTTAAGGGAGGAAGATTCTTACCAATGGGGGCAGGAGTAGGGGTGGGGAGGAAAGATTTCCACAGCCAATTATGTTGGAAATATACTTCAAAGAATTGATAGGAGTTCAAGTGCCTCCCCAGAGCTTTGGTTTCTTATGGTGTCAGTCTGCTATGACCTGCTTCTGCTTGGTTATTACCCATTGTTATAGTCATGGACTGGGTCTGTCATACCCACTCCTGACTCAGCTATGACAATGAGACTTAGGCATGGAGGATTAGATGAGCCTGATGCATGAGAGGGATGGAAAGACCAGTCTGGTTCAAGTGCAGAGTGCACACAGGGGAAATGAAGGCAAGTGAGAAAAGGCTGCAAAGATAAGTTGGGGCCCGTTTGAGGAAGGTTTGGAGTCTGAAGTAAACATGATCTACTCACTCTCATGACCTCACCTTTAGGCCCCTTCCTGGTGTCTTCTCCCTTCTTATACAGTGAGCATCTCGTGTGTTCAGTTTTTCAGGGTCCCCCAAACTAAACAGCGATTCGTACTCCAAAATTATACACCTCCACTCGCTCATTCAAAGTTTCAGCCAATCAATGATATTAATAACCATCTCTAACATTTTAAAGGCTTAATAATTTACAAAATACTTCCCATTCTTTCCCAACAGCTCTATGAAGGAGAGAGAGCAAGGATTATTAACCCAATTCAGATGAGGAATTGAGGCACAGGACAAGGGAGTTGTTTTGCCAGAAGCCATGTAGCTCTTGTCAGTGTGAGAACCAAGACTGATCATTCCATTTAATAAGCATTTATTAGGCACCTATTATGTGTCTGATATTGTTCTAGATAGGGAGTTTCAAAGAAAAAATGAAAAAATTCTCTACTCTCAACGAGGTTACATTTTGCCAGATGACATTAATAATAATATTAACTCACATTTTTATGTTTTAAAATTTACAAGATGCTTTTTTTCCACCATACCTCTGTAAATGATGTAGTTTATTATTATCCTCACTTCATATATATAAAGAAAAGGAGGCCCGGAGAGGGGATATGTTTTGCCCCTAGTCACCCTGCACCAGGGCTTAACTCTATGTCTTCTAATTCGAGGTCTCCTACGTTTGCCTCTATGCCACACTTCTTTTTGCTCCAGGTGAAGGCAGATTGAGTTGCTGGTAAACCTAATAATATTCAGGTTTGAATAACTATTATCATATATACATTATTACAGCTTAATAGGCTTCCTCTCCCCTCATGTGGATTTGTCTGAAAAGAGAAGTGTGGAGGGGGCTGTATGTGTTTCAGAGAAATTAAGTGCTAATAGTGGAATTTCTAGCTCCATATTTAGGGCAAAACCTTTGATAGGTCCCTTCATCTTGTCTTCACCCTGTAGAAAATATTCCACTTCTTGATGGACAGGCCAACTGGGTCTAGAGGCAATGATGGATTTTCAGCTATGCATCATCAATGTGGAAATAGCCTTAAAGTTAAGGGAAATGGTTGTCTCTTCTGAGGAACTGACAAATCTCTCCTCCTCTATCTGTTCATCCATTTGACTGGAGCTTAAAGTTAGAGTTATGAGTTGCTAGGACTAGAAGGGACCTTGGAGGTCATCTGATCAAAAAAGTCACATAGAGGTGAAAGGGATCCCAAAGCTATCTACTTCTACACAGCCCTGACAAATGGGGAGGGAGGAGGGGAAGGCATGCGCATTACATCCTAAGGCAGCTCATCCCACTTTGGGGCCAGACTCTTTATCACTGGGACGCTTTTTTCTTTCATCAAGCCTAAATCTTCTTCCATGTAAGAGGAGACCCATTGCTCCTACTTCTGCTCCAGGGACCCAGCAGAACAAATCTAATCCCTCTTCTTATGACACCCCTTTATCATGTTACCTCTAAGTGTTTTCTTTTTCAGGAAAAGTGTCCCCACTTCCTTGTCCCAGAGCGCGATGATTTCAATCACCTTATTTTTATTAATTTCCTGGACAAAATCCAAAGCTTTAGTTTGACAAATGGGGAAACTTGAGGGCCAAGGAGGCAAAGGAACTTGCCTAAAGTTTCACACAGTTGGAATTTCTAGCAGGGAGATGCATACATAGGAAAGGTGGGGTTGAGTTGCCTCCTCCCCTAGGCTTGTGGAAACTGGGCAAGAAGGGCTGCCAGTCTCAGATGCCAGAAGCCTCTGATGACCTTCTCATCTTTCTTCTTCTTCTTCCCAGGTGGAGAGCAATTTTGGAGAGTACCATTTGTTCCTCCTGCAGGCTTTTATGTACGTCAAGAGCCCTCAGAAGAACCTCCAACAGGCAGCCATGAAGTTTATTGGTGAGCCTCATCCTGCTTTGATCATCTTGGGTCATCAGGCCTCCAGCCCTCCCCGCAGGATCTCACTAGAGTCCTCATTGCCTCTGGTCCCTCATTCTGAGGCTCACTGAACATATGCATCCTCCACATCCCAACCCTGGCCTGCACCAGGACCAATCGTGCCTAAGCTGAAGTGGGCAGAGATGTGCTCTCCCCGTGGGGTTGGGCTCCAGGCTTTCTCTCAAGGTTAGAGCTAACATCCATATTTGTAATTGGGCCAGGAGATTCTGCGGTCACAATCCTTCACTGAGGAGGGGGTTCCTGGGCCACAAGAGAAGGGTCCTGGCTCCAGCTCATAGCTGCAGACGTGAAAGCCTGGAGTTGCCTTCTCACTCACGTCCAGGCTGTTGTCTTCCTTGTGCTTTAGGTGGAATGCTTCAGGAGTATTTTTCTGATCTCTGCTTTTATTTGAACAAGTCAGATGTGAAGCTACTGACAAAAAGTAAGCTGTAGTCTCAGATGTTTACTCTCTAAGTTTGGGGTGGGGAGAAGAGACTCCAACAGACCAGACACGGGAATCAAGTGAAACCAAGAACCTCCCAACGCCACAGGGCAGGGGCTAAGTCTCCTCCTCAGATCTTGGACTCCCTGAGGACAAGTTCCCAGAGTAAAGTGATGAATAGAGTGCCCCTAAGAGATGGGTCTATATCTTTTCTTCTGACCAGGAGTGTCTGTAGGATGAAGGTTGTGTTTCCCTCTTGTATCAAGGGCTTCCACAGGACAGGGGCACGTCCCTCTCTCAGAATAGAGGCTCTCTGAGGGTTGAGACTGCATCTCACTCCCTCAGACTACAGGCATGGTCTTGAGTTTTCTCTCTCAAGCTGTGGGCTCCCTAATAACAGGAGCCTTATCTCTCCCTCAAATCTAGGGTTCCCTAGCTACAGAAGCTATCTCCTTTGTTGTCTGCATCTTCTCCCAATAAAGTCTTGAGCACCCTTCTCCCCTAGCCTTCCTTTCCAAGTATTTTTATATTCAAGTTTCTTCTTAGGACCAATCATCACCAAATCTTGTTTCTCTCCACCTCATCTTGGGCTCTCCATAACCCTGATAAAGAACATTAGAGATCAGTTTTCCACCTCTTCTCGACCTTCCCCTTTTAGATTTTGAAGAGCTTCGAAGGGACCAAGACCCCAACATCAGAAAGTTCTACCTGAACTATTCAGAAGACATCTATGAGCTGTCCAAATATGTGGCCTGAAGCTTCAGTAATTTGCCTTTTGTGTTTTTTTTAAAAAAAAAAGTCATTGGTTTTATCATTCATTCATCAGTAGCAAAATAAAAGTTGAGTTTAATTCAACAAGCATTTATTAAGGACTTACCTACGTGCCAGCACTGCATTGGGTGATGGAAAAATGACAAGGTAGAAGTGAGACATGATCCCAGATGCCATGAAACACACATTGTAGTAAGTGGGCCATGACCAGATAGATGTGATAAACCATAACACGTACCAAATGCCTCTGAGAGGCACCAAACAAGGGGCAGTCTGAAGTCCAGGGGAAAGGGGGCTTTTCCTAACCAGGAGAACCAGGGAAATCTTTTTGGAAGAGGTGGCATTGAATCGCATCTTATAGAAAGGATGGAAATACAATGGGCAAAGCAGGCAAGGGAGGGCATCCTAGTTAGTAGGGCCCATCATAAGTTCAGTACAAGGTGGGTTCAGGGCCCTCACTTAGTTCACAGCCTAGAACAAGATGCGTATATACCTAATTACAGTACAAGTAATGTTATAAATGCCCTGAGAGAGGGGCAAGACACAGGACAAGGGGAGTTAAGAAGACAAAGATGTTATTTTTGCCTGGGCGGTGGAGGTTCAGAAAGGGCCTCCTTAAAAGGTAGTATCTGAGCAGAGTTTGGTCTTGAAGGATGGAGGACTTCCACAGGCAGAGATGGCACCCAAATGAGTTAGGCCATTTCAGGCAAGGGGAAGGGACTTGGTAAGTGTGCTCAGCAGAGAGGCAAGTACAGGATGTTTTGGGGGAGGGACAGCCATGAGTCCTGTTTGTCTGGGGGGGAGAGATGAAGCTGGAAAAGTTGGCTGAAGCCAAATCATGGTGGGTCTTGAATATAAGGCTAACGAGGATGGGTGTTTCCTGTGGGTGGTGGGGAGCCACTGCAGGTTTCTGAGACAGAGATACAGTGGGGGGGGTGGTATTTTAACCCTCAACCTCTCCATCCTTAAACCTTTCCTCATCACTTTGCATGGGGGCAGGGCAGAGAGAAGGGAGAGAGTGTTCAAGAAGTGAAGTGACACAGAGACAAGCCCTGGGGTTCGGGGGCTTCCCATCTGAGACAGACAAAGCCCACATTGGCACAGCACCATATCTCCCTGCAATGTCATCTGCTATCAGCGTGGGGACTAGGAGAACATGTGGGAGCTTGGGGAGTCCTCGTTGTCTCTGTTTTCCCCAAATACCTCTTTTTCCTCAGACTACCAAAACAGGATCACAGGGATATAGAAATCACCAAGTTTAATCCCCTTACTTTACAGATAAGGAAACAAGCCATTACATACGTCCTGCTTTTTTGGAGGGTGAAATAGATCAGCAAGAGCTTAGGAGAGGGGAAGGTGGAGGGAGAGGGGCAGGGAGAGGGAAGGGACCCTCCAGGGAAGAGGGACTTTTCAGTTATTCAGACAAGAAGCAGTTGGAGTCTGTATTAGACTGGCTGATACAGACATTTCTCTCTCTCTGAAGCCAGCATAATAAGGAAGTCTTCTTGGAGGAAGAAGCCATCTAAAATCAAAGCTGGTTGATAGTTCACCCAAAGGTGTCCCTATCTGAGGCCCTTCAGGGAATTGTGAAGGTTCCAACAAATGTCAAATTCTGTTGGCATTTAAAATATTCTAGGAACTGTGGGGAGGGGGTGGGGTGAGGACAACCAACCTCCTAGAATACCAATTGTAATGGAAGAATGGTCAGATCCAAACATCCAGGCCTCCCTTCAAAATGTCCTTCCCAACTGTCCCCTCTCCAAAAGGGGCTAGGGGCATGTATTAACTGATCTGCAGTTTATAATCTAACAGAATTGTATAAGGCACCAAAACTTTAAAGGGCGTGTCCAGGGTCACACAGCTAGTATGGGTCACAGGAAAAACTTGAACTTGGAACTTTCTGACCTCAAGGCTAACCTTCTAGTCCTTCTGCCACACTGTCTCTGTGTTCTGACCTTGTCCTCATAGCCACTCCACTATACAGGTAAGAAAGTGCCCAAGAGTTAGAGGAGAGCCGCAGGGAATGAGGTTGTTCTTAGATTTAATAACTCATGTCACTCTAGCGCTATTTACAGCATTTTGCAAAGCAGAACCTCAATCCGCCTTTATTTGGTCCTCTGCCAATTATCTCCTGTTTATCTTGTGTATTTCTTGTTTGGCCAGAATTGTCTAGATATTGTCTCCCCCGTTAGACTGTGAGCTCCTTGAGAGCAGGGATTATCATTTACTTTTCTTTGTATCCCCAGCACTGAGCACAGTGTCTGGCATGTCCTAGGTGCTTAATAAATGTTTATTGACTGACTTTCCCCCATAAGATGCCTGTGCACTCAATTGGAAGTGTATGTCTGTGAGACTTATTGCAGTAAAGTGGAGTGCATTCTGGCTTTAGGGTCAAGGGACCCTCATTCAAATCCTACCTTAGACATTTACTATATGATCATGGTTAAGACATTTAGTGACTCAGAACCTCAGTTTTCTCATCTGTCAAATGGAGGTATTAATACTTTATATCACGTACTCACTAGCTATTTGTGAGGAAAATGTTTTGCAAACTTTACTACATAAATAGAAGCTTTTATTTTATTTTTTTCCATTTTGAAGATGAGGAAACTAAGGCTGGATTGTGACTTTCTCATAACCATACAGGTAAAATGGGTCAGAACAAGGATTTGAACTCATCTCTTCTCTTCAAGTCTAGTGCTGTTTCCACTTCAGCGCATTGTTAGTCAGTCAACAGACATTTATTTAGGTGTATACTATGTGTCATGCACTGTGCTAAATGCTGGGGATACAGAAAAATAGCAAAAAAAAAAAAAAGCAGTTCTTGTTCTCAAAGAGCTCACATTTTAGCAGAGGAGATAACATGTCACTACATACATCGCGGGCTGAAGGAACTCAGAAAGACCTCCTGAAGAAGGTGGGATTTTAGCTGAGTCTTGAAGAAAGTCCAGTAAATGAAGTGGCAGCCGTGAGGAGGTGAGAGGTGGGGTACACCTCTGCAAAGGTAACAGCCACTGCAAAGGCTTGGAGGTGGGAAATGGCGTATCATATTTGAGAAACATCAGATAGGCCAGTGTAGTAGCCAGACTGTGGAGTGCAGACAAGGGAGTCAGGTACATGGAGGCTGGAAACGTAGTGAGGGGTCAGGTTATGAAGAATTTTAAATGTCAGTCAAAGAGTTCATATTTGATCCTAGAGGTCACAGGGAACCACTGGGGTCATTGGGAGTGGAGAAAGGGGCATGGTCAGCCCTGTACTTTATCAAAATCACCATGGCAACTGAGTAGAGGGTAGATTGAGGAAGAGAGAAACTTGAGGCAAGGAAACTCAATTTAAAGGCTATTTCTTTTTTCTTTCTTTTTTGGTAAAGCAGTTGGGGTCAAGTGACTTGCCCAGGGTCACACAGCTAGTAAGTGTCAAGTATCTGAGGCTGGATATGAACTCAGGTCTTCCTGACTCCAGGGCTGGTGCTCTACCCCACCCCCACCCCCCACCTATCTGCCCCAAAAGGCTATTTCAGTTGTCCAGGCTAGAGGTGATGATGAGGGTATAAACTAGTGTGAAATGTGAAGATATAAATTATGAAGGTATAAACTAGGCTGAGTGAAAGAAGAGGACATACACAAGAGATGTTGGGAAGGTAGAAGTAGTGCTGTTTGGCAAGTAATCATTATGTGTGGAATGAGCAAGAGTGAAGAATTGAGGATGACACTGAGGACGAGGGTCTGGGTGATGACGGAGTGGATTTGATGACCGCTCTAAAGAAAGGAGGGGGTCCTAAGCTCAGCTGGTCAGTGTATGACGCCTGAAATGCCCACTTGGGCCAGACCAAGAGGTCTTATTTGACTGGAGCTCAGGCTGTATAAGAGGTAGCAATGGGAGATGAGGTTGGAGAGTCAGCCAGATTTACAACCACCATGTTAATCCTCCCCATCCCTCACAATAGTTAATAGTCAGGAAACATTTATTAAGTGCCTACCATGTGTCAGGCACTGTGCTAAGCACTAGGGATACATATAAGAAAACAAAGATAGTCCCTGTCCTTAAGGAGCTTACAATCTAAGGAAGACAGTACGCAAAAGGAAGCTGAAAAGGATGAGGGGGGAGCACCAGGGATGGGAGCATGACGTCCATGGAGCAGAAACGAAGCAGAGCCGCCCCTGGAAAATGAGGCGCTGCTGGCAGAACCCTGAGGCCTCTCTAAAAGAAGGCTTTGGGAGGACTTTATGGCTCCTCCCCCCGTCAATCAGAAGAGAGAAGCACCATATACTGTGTGTGTGTGTGTGTGTGTGTGTGTGTGTGTGAGAGAGAGAGAGAGAGAGAGAGAGAGAGAGAGAGAGAGAGAGAGAGAGAGATCATTTGCCAAATTTTGCGGATTTTCCCGTCAGAAAAGCTTTTCCTTCTCTCCCCGCACATGGCCACCCCTCTAGTTCAGGCGCTCATCACCTCTCGTCTGGATGGTTGCAAGAGTCGGAGTCTCCTAATCGGTTTCTAGGAGGTGAGTCAGGGGTGCAGCCTGGAAAGGAAAGAAGACCGGGTCAGCCCAGGCGTCCTCCTTCCAATGACCCTGGAGCCGAGGCGAGGATGGGGGCCAATCCAAGGCCCCTCTCATCTCTTGCGGGGAGCCTTCTGTTATTTAATTCTGAGAGTCCCTGCGTGCCTCTGGGGCTCACATTCAGCGCTCAAGTCCACTTGTTCCGTCATCATTATACTCTCCGCTCAATTCACGTGACGGCCGTCTCTCAGACCCAGCTCTCCTAGAAGGCTCTTTCAACGTTTCCCTCTTCAGACTGGCGACTTTCTGAGTCCATAGGCTAT